GAACAGTTATTCTCATGACACTGAAGTAGATAGTGTCTTATCACTTATCAAACATAAAAGAGACAGGACCTGATAATGAGGATGAACATAGTAAATATAAACTACTTGATTTCATAAGGAAAGTATAGTAATCATGTATATTAATATAGTATAATGATTTTCTTCACTAGCTAATCTGCACTTCACAGACATCTAACTTTATTCTTATTTACAGAACCTATTGCTCAAAACTACAAAACAGCAGTGTGTCCTTTCATTGATGTGATCGACTATGAAACCTTCGAGTACAGAGCTCAAGATGAGGGGAGAAGAGGGTCATTTGACTGGGAATTCTACTACAAGAGATTGCCCCTTTTGGCCGAGGACGAGGCCAATATGCCGTTGCCGTTCAAGTATGATATAATGTTTAATTTTGGGGCTTGAATGTTTATGTAGGCTCAAGGTAATTTGTGGTTCCTTTCTCTCCGAAGGAAACAAAATTTTGCATGTTATCATTGTATAATTATTTTTTTGTTTAATTATGAATAACAAAAATAAAATTAAAGTTATGTAGAGCAAGCAAAAACAGTTTTTTTGTGATATAGAATGCTATTATATTTGTGTATGTATATCTAACTATGACATGATACCAAGTATACCTGGGCTGATGTATTATATATCCATAGTACATATATATGTGTATGTGTGTATATCTTCAGGACATGCATTATCTTCAAGTCATTGTTATCATTATAATTTTTTATTTATCAGGAGCCCAGTCATGGCAGGAGGCTTGTTTGCCATAAGTTCCAAATTCTTCTGGGAGCTCGGAGGATATGACCCTGGCCTTGACATATGGGGGGGAGAACAGTACGAGCTTTCTTTTAAAGTGTGGCAGTGTCATGGGGTCATGTATGATGCTCCGTGCTCCCGAATCGGACACATTTATCGGAAGTTTGCACCGTTCCCCAACCCAAGAAAAGATAACTTCATTGCTAGAGTGAGTCTTTTTTATTTATTTATTATTATTATTTTTATTTTTTTATTTATTTATTTTTTTACCTAATGGTAGCTCTGGTTTGCAGGTTCTTGTAAGCTAGAACTAGGGATGTCTGTGGGAAAGTTGCATGAAAACTATGCAACGCTGAACAGTCTTGATATTCATTTTTTGTATCTGAAATGTAAACTGCAACTCCTAATTTATTAATCATTATTTGATGTTTCATGGTCATTTGCTGTATGTAAACTCTTAAGGAAGAGAAATATTGTATTTAGCATTTTTCATCCCTCCCGAGAATATGTTTCTTTAAAATTAATCCTTTGTATTATAATTAAGTCTTCCTATTGCTCTATAATAGAACTATCAAATCCTCACTTATCATTTTACAATAAAATGCTTAAATCTTTTCTTAACCATTGTATAACCACCAGACCTTTTCCCTCTAAATCCATATCACTTCAAAGTAAACCAGTCAAGTTAGTCTTGTCATATCATCGTAATGCAAAAAGATGATTTTTTAGAATTATTTATATTTGCATCGTTTGTTTTTTTTTCTTTTAATGTTACTTCACTGTATATCCCTCAAATACATGGCTATTATATCTTTTCTTATTCCATTGCAACTGCTGTATATAGTTATCTGTTTCTTCAGAATTACCGTCGTGTGGCAGAGGTTTGGATGGATGAATACAAGAAATACCTTTACATGAGACAACCTGGATGGCTACAGGTACAGTGATATATGTTAATGGAATTTGTTTCTTAATCAGTAAGTGGTATCAAGTTCTAATATACTTCTATCATGTTCATTTAATATAATTTGTGGGTTAATTTGTAAGTTTTATGTATATATAAATACTGGGTTTTGTAATTTCATGCAATAATGCCTATAACTAAAGTAGAATAATATACATATTGAAAGTCTGAAGTGTAGATTTTCTAAGGAATAGAATGTTATGTCTTTTTTGAATGCATGATAGTTATTCATTTATTTAATTTCCAGACGGATACTGGAGACATTAGCGAGCAGCTGGCAGTTCGAGAGCGTAACAAGTGTAAGCCATTCCAGTGGTTTATGGAAAATGTGGCCTTTGATCTTGCTAAACACTACCCGCTGATTGAACCCCCAGACTACTGTAATGGAACAGTAAGTTTTTCGTTATGTTTAGGTTTTTTCTTGGGCATGGGGGGGATATACTGAGAATGTGAGTGGCTGAGGAACAGTAGGTTCTTCAAACAAAATAGCTCTAAACCCTGCACAGTTTGAGTACAGACAGAGTGTCCTTTCAGGGTAATGGTCGATACATATCTAATAAAAGCCCCTCAAAAGGGTTTAATTCTTGTAGATCTGGAGATATTGATTTATGCTTTGAGGTAAATATTGATATAAAGAGTCCCTGTTATATCTATTCCCCTTAGCAGATAGATTGTGTATATCATTATGCATTGTTTTAATGTTATGAATCTCACAAATAGTCTTTTCTTATGGGGTGATTTTGAGTATGAGATGTTACATATTGTCAGTGTGTAGATATTAGATATAAGTTATACTAAAAAGGTAATCAGGAGATGAAAGCAAGAACACAAGTTGATATCGATACCAGAAAACAGATCAATGAAAAGTTGATTCCTTTTCTAGAATCATGTCTTTTGAAATATTTTAAAAAGAACTTGAGTGCTAAAGAACATTTGCCACAATCTTTCCAGATTCAGAGTCTGGCTGACCCAAAGCTCTGTGTAGACACCAGGATGAAAGGGCAGTTTGAACGGCTGGATTCCCTGGGTGAATGTAGTGCAAGTTCTCAGTTCCAGTTCCAGCTCACAGCATACAAGGTGAGTTAGATCCATGATTATTCAATGGCTGTTTTCATTCTTTCATTTTGTGCATATTTGTGTATTGTTATTGCTAGTAGGATTGATAATTATTGATTTTATGATCATATCATACAGTATTAAAATGTGTTTGGTCAAACTTAAACATGCAATAATTTTAAAAGTTTATCTTAGCCTCATTGGTCTTCATTAATGGTCTGATTACTCCACACATGCAATGCCCTTGACTGACGTTGTGATTTTATTTACTTACTAGGATTTGCGACCCCTAAAAAGCCATAATTGCTGGGATGTACCTGATCTTCAAGCGAAGCATGCACCTGTCTTGCTTTTCGGCTGCCACAAAGGCCTTGGGAACCAGATGTGGAAGTATGATATGGTAAGTTGGAGTTTTAGTTCAGTTTTATGTTATATGCCATGATGTTGAAAGATATGCAGGGTGATGCAACTGCCTTTTCTCTGTGTGTAAATTTATTGCTTTTGGAGTAATACATGAAAGATATAGGGAACCTGTGCAAGACAATAAAGAATATTGATAGTATGAGATTTCATTTAACTTCTCAAATACTGTTGTTTTTCTCAAATAGTGTTGTATCCTAAAGGTATTTCAGTTATGTTACTATGTATTATTTACTCATTTTATCAATAGTATTTCATCTTAATGCCAAATTCCTCTCCCCTCTATTAAAATCAAGACATTATGTTTACAGGAAAACCAGTTTATTCGGTTTGGCCATGATGGTACTCACTGCCTCGACTCAAGCACCATAAACAGGGAAATCTTTGTCTCCCGGTGTGACATGACCTCCCAGACGCAGAAGTGGAAGTGGGGCTTCTTTAACGAGGAAAGATTACGCAACTATGATAATCTAGATCCCAGACCTTAGTAGTATATATATACACATTATATATATACGTGTTTATATATATATATATATATATATATATATATATATATATATATATATATATATATATATATATATATATACATACACATACATATGTATGTATGTATATATGTATGGATGTATGTACATGTATATATATACATACATATACATATATATATACACATACATATACACATACACATACATATACACATACACATACACATACACATACACATACACATACACATACACATACACATACATACATAAATACATACATACATACATACATACATACATACATACATACATACATGTATATACATGTGGATGTATACACAAACACATGCACACCCATCCACACCCACACATGCACACGCACACGCACACGCACGCGCACGCGCACGCGCACTCGCACGCGCACACGCACACGCACACGCACACGCACACGCACACGCACACGCACACGCACACACACACACACACACACACACACACACACACACACACACACACACACACACACACACACACACACACATCTACATCTACATCTACATCTACATATATACATAGATTCACACACACACACAAACACACACACACACACACACACACACACACACACACACACACACACACACACACACACACACACACACACACACACACACATATATATATAAAATATATATATATAATTCATAAATTCACACAATACCAGTATAATGCAGACATATTTTTGTAGTGATTTTCTTATGAAAAGTGTATCTGGAATTTGAAGGTCAGAATGAAGTTGCTGTTTGTGTTGTACTTATTTAATATTCATCATCATCAGCTGAAACCCCTCATATCAGTATTATGAGGATTAACTTTTATTGATAAAGATAATCCTTTAGTTGCTTTGTTATGGTCAGTTGTTTGTCTCCTTTTCTGTAATATTTCTCATGATAAAGTATTTTATGGTTACACATATATTGTCCTGATGTTAGATTTGGAGTGGAAATCTATTAATATTTCCCCTCAGAATTTTACAGGTGATGTTCATAGTATGTGTACAGTAGATACTGAAGTATAGTATATTAGATTTGTAATAAAGATTATACTTTTTGCTTTTACCATTCCGTAGTTCTTTACTGTGGAATTATTTTACATACAAGTTGATAATTCTTCCTATGTACAAAGAAGTGTTCCATTGCACATATACACATATTTGATTGATTTTGATATTAAACACTTTAAAGGCATAATTGTTATTTTTCTTGTGGAAGTGGTTGTAAGAGTTAATGACAATTTTGATAACATAATGTAAATATCAGGGAGTGAGGGTTACCAATAAAAGTATGATTATGTAATTTTGTATGTTTTGAATTAAATGAAAGTTGCACTGCACACACTCGTATACCTGGTACATTTATTTGTATTACCTGGTACTTATTTTGTTTGCTGTGATGTGACAGCATACGTGCAATAAGACATTGATTCCCAAACTGGGCTGCAGAAATATTTGTGAGTATTAGGAAAAAACATCATTACACTTACCTTTTGTGGTGGGTTTCAGTATTAAAGTAATTTCATTCCTAGACTGGTCATACAGGTATAGATATGTAAGAATAAGGGAACCATAACTGCATAAAAAACCTATCCCATCCTGGACTTTAACGTTGAATTATCATAATGTGAAAATTATCCTTGAGTTTGTTAACTAAATCCATAGGTTTTCAGTTCTGCAGGCATGAAAAGTTTGGGAACCATTGGGATGAGGCATTGTAGGAGAACTTCATTGACACTGGCTTTATGTTAATGACAATGGGGCAGTGATCTGAATGATATAAATGATTAATTTGGATGGTGGATGATGTGTGTATTATAAGAAATTCTCTAATGCATATAAATATATTTTTTTACTTCTAATTATCTTCATATGCATAAGTGTGGGTTTCAAACTGTTTTGCAGATGTGCAGGATAGTGAAGCAGTCACGATTTCCATTTTTTTGTGCAGATATGTATTTCCATAATTTTGTAAGAGTTACCATGCATAATAATCTTCATTTGTTTTTAATCTGATTTTATCTTTGAAGACTTGAGAGTGATGCTTGCTGTAAGAGTGTCATATATTTTTTTTTTTCCTTCATAATGTTTTATTGTAAATAGGACCTTGAAATGTGCCTTAATATTTAGTGAAAAGCACCAATTTAAAAATTTAAGATGCCATGTCAAAGAATTGAAAATAAATCTTGTGATTTAGGAATACTTTTGTTTACTCTGGCCTCAACATTTTTTTTTGTAAAGGATGTAATTTATTTTGAATGTAAAGATTGATAAAAAATAGCTTTACATAAAAACTTAATAATGATTAATTCTCTGATATTATGTTAGGCTCTGTAAGACTGATAAAACTGTGGGTCACTTTACAAATCAGTTACAGATCCATTATGTTCTTTGAAATAGTGACTACTAGCTACAGTATATAAATATGGAAAGAAGGACTGAAGATGTGATTGTTATTACTGTCTGATGAACTTGTATTTTTCAGTGAAAGTAATTTTCAGGGTGTTTAGGTCATGGGTCACTTCACATAATGATGCATTTACAAGTATATTGTTTTCATTAGATTGCATTTTTTCTATCTACTTTCTTTAACTGGAGCACACAAAATAACCCAGTTAATGCATGTATACTGTATTTCCTTGTATTATGTATCATTATGCAAACATTAACCAAACTGATATGAATATAACTAATTTTAGAGATACAAGAATTTGATTTGAAATTTGCTTAGTTGTTTAAAAAAATAATTTGGTTGTTTTAAACAAAAATAGAAATTTGCTTAGTTGTTTAAAAATTGAACTTACCCCCCAGATTTTAAACTCTTCTGATCTTATTTTATACCCATGATCTTCATTGTTTGGGATTATGGTGGTGCTGTTGTAAAACTTTAATTATAGAAGTGATGGTCCTTACTATCAACTGTTAAAGCTGTAGTCACATGTGGTGGCTACTTTATTTTCTTCTAGTAGTGGAACCACAGCTTCTCTCTACACAGAAGTCTATAGTGTGCCCAGTTCTTAGTGACTAGCATGTGCTATTGGCGACAGGTGTGTAGTAGCTATGAAAAATATTGAATATATCTAACTTTATTCCCTAGTCGAACGCTACTAGCATCAACTAGTCAGGCTTCATGATTTCAGGCAACACATCAAACTATAAACTCGACCAATGGTTCTTAACTTGGGGGTCGTGGAACCTCAAGGGGATGTCAGTAATTTCCAAGGGGTGTGCGAGACCTTGGGAAAAAGCAGGAATTTCCCTTATTATATGTGTTAATTTTTTAACAGGAGCTTGGTCAAATAATGAGAAATTTGATAATAGTGTGATTATTGCATACTCAATAGAAAGACTAATATATTTTAAATTTTCTTTATAATGTGGGAGGGAATTTTGTTCATTTGAGGCAATAGGAATGTGGTAGGTAGGAAAAAGTTCGAGAGGAGGGACGGTAGTAAAAAGGTTAAGAACCGCTTATTTAGACTGATAGGGAAGACATTTTTGTAATTTCCAATTATGTTTATTTGACCATTTTTAAAATTTTATTTGACATACTGATAGGTGCACCTAATCTTTCCCATCAAGTCACCCATTTTCAGGCCTGGATTTAAGCTTGACGAGGCTCTAAAACTGTTAGAAGCTAGGAGGCCCCTTATGAAGATAAAATAAAGGTATTTCAGAACTTAAAAACATTTATATTTTAAATGATATCAAAATAAACAAATAACCCCTAAGAATAAAATATATAATAAATTCTAAAAGGTCACAAAAAGAGGCCCCTTAATTAATAATCGAAGATCCAATCTGCAGCTTATTTAGCCCTGCCTAATTCCTGACAGGGTCTATGTAAATATACTTTTATAGACCTTGCTTCCTTATCCACTTTCTATGTGAAACCAAAGTCTGTTTTTGCGCCATTCCGCCATATGTTAGTTGGATGAATCGGTTTGAAACTTGATGTCTATGAGTGAGACATTTCTACATTTTACTCAAGAGGCGTGGGACGGCTAGATTAGAGATAGCTAATCTTTAAAAAAAATGAGTTACAATACATAACTAGCTCAGTAGTGTCCCAGCTATACGTTGATACTAATTTTGAAGTTAGTCGCTGAGATAACGTTAATCCAGATGTCTGTTCTAAATACTGTAGGGTTACGGATCAACTATTAACAACTAACATGCCACGTGATGATGGAATAATGTACTATTGGCGACCAGTATCGAGAATGCTTTATATCAATAGCTGATATTAATTACAAATGCTACTCTCACTATTATCCGGTAACTGCACAAACCAATCAGTAATAGTAGCGAGGAAAATAGCTCCGTGTGCCTTTAGATTTAGAGTCCGGTTAAGGACGCTAAGATATAAAGGCGCCACATGAATTTCCGATCTTGAAGTTGAAAGCTCAGTCGTTTTTTAAAAGCGGACAGAGGAATATACAGAAGGAGCTGACTATTGCAGTCCTCTACTAGATACAGTACCCTCACTGAAGGACCTAAAATGTTTCACTGATTTTTTGCTTTATCCATTCCTGTTCGATTATAGATTATAGAGCAATGTCATAGACTCTCAAAACAATGATTATTTTTGAAGCATAAAAAAAAATCCGCCAATCCTTTCAACCTTATATACATGAACCACCAATATTTTAAAATGAATGTTATCTTTTTATTTCGAAATGGCGCAAAATCTATTAATGAAAACTCTTCGGCTATCGTATCCTCAAATTAAAAAGGTTAATTGATCATACACTGCATTTTTCAGGAGCACTTATGTACAAGGACTTTCTGAATTTTCACCTCAGCGAATTTCTTTTTTTTTTTTTTCCAAAATCATCTTTCTTCATTAAGGAGTGAAGTGTCGTGTTCAGATGCTGATACACGCGTTCTGAAGGGATGTCGAAGACTTTACAATCAAAGACAATAACGAAAATGCTTATTCAGCAAACGTACACGCACACACACACACACACACGCACGCACACACACGCACGCACGCACACACACACAAACACACAGACACACACACACACACACACACACACACACACTCACACACACACACACACACACGCACACACACACACACACACACACACACACACGCACGCACACACACACACAAACAAACAAACATAAACAAGCAAACAAACCCAAACAAGCAAGCAAACAAACACAAACAAACATACAAACCCACACAAAACCTCTTCCTTTAGATTCCCATTAAAAATTTACAAAATATCTACCTCGAAGCTCTTGTAAATTCTTCTATTCCATTTCCAACTTTAATTTAATAATGCAAATCTCTGTCCTATTTTCTTTGTAAAGGATGTAATTTATTTTGAATGTAAAGATTGATAAAAAATAGCTTTACATAAAAACTTAATAATGATTAATTCTCTGATATTATGTTAGGCTCTGTAAGACTGATAAAACTGTGGGTCTCTTTACAAATCAGTTACAGATCCATTATGTTCTTTGAAATAGTGACTACTAGCTATAGTATATAAATATGGTAAGGACTGAAGATGTGATTGTTATTACTGTCTGATGAACTTCAGATAATGATGCATTTACAAATATAGTGTTTTCATTAGATAACATTTTTTCTATCTACTTTCTTTAACTTAAGCACACAAAGTTCCCCAGTTGCAGAATGCATATTGTATTTCCTTGTATTATGTATCATTATGCAAACATTAACCAAACTGATATAAATATAACTAATTTTAGAGATACAAAAATTTCATTTGAAATTTGCTTAGTTGTTTAAAAGAATTAAATTTTGTTGTTTTAAACAAAAATAGAAATTTGCTTAGTTGTTTTAACTTACCCCCCTAATCTTAAACTCTTCTGGTATCATTTTATACCCAAGATCTTCATTGTTTGGGGTTAAGGTGGTGCTGTTGTAAAACTTTAATTATAGAAGTGATGGTCCTTACTATCAATTATTAAAGCTGCAGTCACATGTGGTGGCTATTTTACTTTCTTCTAGTAGTGGAACCACAGCTTCTCTCTACACAGAAGTCTATAGTGTGCCCAGTTCTTAGTGACTAGCATGTGCTATTGGCAACAAGAAATAGTAGCTATAAAAAAATATTGAATATATCTAACTTTATTCCCTAGTCGAACGCTACTAGCATCAACTAGTCAGGCTTCATGATTTCAGGCAACACATCAAACTATAAACTCGACCAATGGTTCTTAACTTGGGGGTCGTGGAACCTCAGGGGGATGTCA